TAACCGACCGTCCTTTTGAAGCGTGTGAACTAGTGGTAACCGACCGTCCTTTTGAATCGTGTGAACTATGCTAACCGACCGTCCTTTTGAAGCGTGTGAACTAGTGCTAACCGACCGTCCTACTAATATGGTATTTAAAAAAAAAAAGTATCATCTTAAATATGCGCTCAAACATCGTAAAGAGAGAAAAAAACGGTCATTTGATTAAAAGGATACTCTTAAATACGGTCATTTGAACAAAAGGATACTCATAAATACGGTCATTTCAATAAAGGATACTCACAAATACGCTCATTTGAATAAAGAATACTTTTAAATATGGTCAAGCATAGTCTTAAATACGGTCATTTAAAGAAGAAAAAAGAATACTTTTAAATACGTTCATTTAAAAAAACAACGACTTCTTCTGTTGTGTTTTAGAAAACAGTCCACCATGATACACAGCTGCGTACGGAATAAATGCCCGGAAGTTTTCAATTTTTGCCCAGTTCCCAACAAAATCAAATTAATATTATAAGCGATTGAAAGTTGCAAGGAAAAATAATCTACTTGCAGAAAAGCAAAGTAAGCCTAAGTTTCAGGTCACCCATCCAGGTACTAATTTCGCCAAACCGGACTTGACTCAGTGTTATTGAAGCCCAAGATTTTCCCACTGGACCACGGTTCCAGGTGAATCAGCATAACAATAGCCGTGAAAACAATGTACCAAATAGACTAGACTTTTTAACATTCTATTTTCAACCGATTCCGTGCGTGGCAGAGATGCAAGGGATTAGTCGATATGGTCTGGGGGCCGGCTGGTCTCTCCCCTGATGCTTCGGCTAGAACATTTTCTTGCGTAATTCGTGCACCCAAGGGCAGAAGGATTTAATCGCCGTCAGGTCCGAAGTCCATACGCCGCCTCAGCTCTGCGGATGTCTCGGGGGTATGGCAAAGTGGAGTCGTTTTTTTTTTTCTTAAATTTTTGAATGTTAGATTGAACCGCATTGTATCCAGATGATATTTTCTATTTTTAAAAGTATATTATCATGAATTTGTTAATGTCTTCAAGTAAAGGGATACTTCTAAACCAGGTAGGGGATACTCATAAATCAATTTAAGGGATTCTCCTAAACCAGTAAGAGATTCTACTAAATCACGTTAAGGCATAAGATTCCAATTGGACATTCTATTTATCAGATTTGTCTAGTCTTGTCTAGTCTTGCACCTGGTCTAAAATTTCAAAAGACTACATGGCCAGCAGCTCGGCATTTACTTACTTAAAAAACATCTATCCCAATCAATGCAATWACTTCCAAACTATCCTATAATTATGATTAAGTAGTGCCAAGCGATTCCAAAGGACATTTTAYTTRTCAAATGGTTCGGACTGGATTGTTCAAAATAGTTTTTCGGTTATGAAAAAGGTCCTTTCACTGGATGTGAAATAGTCCGCTTCCTCATGTAGTTCACGTCCAGTGAAAGGACCTTTGATACGCTAATCGACTTCTCAACCATATTCGTCTGCCATTTCATTCTTATCCATATTATTTATTTATTCGTAATGCTCGGGCATTTTGTTTCTTTCTATTTCATTCATTCATTATTTTATTCTGCTTTGACCAAAACATAACTTTTCAATAAATAAAAAGGTCCTTTTACTGGATGTGAAATAGTCGCTCACTTGTATAGTTCACATGAAGTGAAAGGACCTTTTTTATAAACAACTCATGAACCATTTTTTCCATTAATTTTCTTTTTTATCTGTTTTATTGATTGTTTTGTTCTTTGAGTAAAACATATGACTTTTAGCTTATGCATGCAAAAGGTCTTTTCACTGAATGTGAAAAAGTCTCTCCTTCATAGTCKTATTAGTTCACATCCAGTGAAGGGACCCTTCAAGTTCCTAATCAACTTTTAGAACGTACTTATCCCTTTTAATATGTTGTTTCTGTTGCTGTTTTTGTTGTATTCGTTGGACCAATATATATTACTAACTGTTTGAGTATAAAAAAGGTCCTTTCAGAGGATGTGAAAAAGTCCCTCCCTCATATGGTATCATGATTATTTCACATCCAGTGAAAGGACTCTTCAAGTTCTTTTTAACCAAATTTTAAACTGCATTCTTAAATTTTTTCGCTAACCAAAACAGATAACTTTTAAATTAAGAAAAYGGAAAMTTTSATGCTTTTAAATGATTTTATTCCTTTTATTCTCTATTTAGATAAAATTTAGATAGGATTTGAGTAGGAGCTTCACTAGAAGATCCTTTCACACGATGTGAACTTCTTGTCAGCAAAAACGTTTTTTTTTGGAGAAGTGCTTTATTTGAGAAGGAGTGATAAGACCAGTTAAAAACGCAATCGAAGATTTTAATTCACAACCTGCTTTCCAAGCTGAATCAGAACAATTGCAGAAAAAATGCTGGGCTTCCTGTGGTATGTGGACCTATGTCGCACTACAGGTAGACCATACTTAAACTAAATGGTGTATAAACACACATATTTGTATTTTTGAACACATAAAACTTCACTACTACTCACGTTTTCCGTTTTCACTTCATTCGCATTGGTGTGATGATCAATGAATTCCTTTGAAATCAAGACCCACGATTGTACTATCCGGCTATGGTGCTGGCCGTGTACAATCGTTCTCCTTCTGTCTTAGCATGTGATTTGGTATGGCCGCAAGTTAGGGAGTTTGCAGGAACATCTTTTTTGATTTCGTGCTTGATAAAAATGAAAGAAATTGAAAATAAGTGGAATAAATTTACACCTTTCTACACAGAGAACCGTTAACAAATTCCTTCGCATAAAAGGCATAGTCTTCATTAATTTCTAAAAACAACTACATCAAAGCAATTGTTCGAGGTACGTTAGACATTTAAAATTGACTTCAACTCAAAATACCAAAGAAAACAAATTCTCGATTCCCACACTCCACCTAAGAAAAGTCCGATCCAAGGGGTTAATCCAGGTTGGGATATTCCACAATTTTGGATTTTGAGGCAAAAACTACCATATTCTAAAAGAGCAAGTAAAATGGGTATTAATGGTGTAATTTGTTTTGCTTTTGTCGCAAAAAACAAATGTTTTTATGAGCATCAAATGTATGATGAACCTTCACGTCAAGTGTACGCCTTTACAACACACCTTCCCTCCCCCAAAGAACTAGGTGTTAGTACATTTGACTTTTTGGCAGCCAAAAAAGCTTTCGCTAGCTATAGCAGATTGAAAGATTGTCCACCCTCCACAAAATCACATCTAGCATTTTAAAACCCAATGCGATCTCTCTTTTCAACTGCGCTGTGATATTGATCTGAATGGTATAAATGAAGGTTTCTATAACTAGTATGGATAATCCAAATATATGGATAATCCGAATATTTTGTTATCCCCTTTCTTTGCGCCGCTCTAGCCGAATATCAAAGTCCCCGTTAAGCCAGGTTATTATTGTCGTCACGATCACATCTAA